GAGATCAATGCAGTCATCAGAAGAAAGCGCTCAGTGGGGCAGACTGTCTTACTGATGCTGCTTTTCATTTTCTCCTGCAGTTGTCAACAGTGTCATTTTCTCCTCATCACATTCAGGGCAGTGTCTTTGAAGGAAACAAAATCACTCCTCTCTCTAATAACTAGGAATTAGTATAGAATTAGAATTAATAACAGGCAATGAAAGGACAGGACTCCTAGGGCACATGTTTTGACCTGAGGTATTTTTGAGTGCTTCAAATTAGTAAGCCCTGGTAAACACATGTTATGATATTTACTAGAAATTATGATATTTACTAGAAATTGTATGGACCTCTTGTTAAAGTTATCCTGTCTGATAGGATTTTTATCAGAAACGTTAAATGTTTGGATAACATATGTGACAATTTTGTCAAATTTGGTTTTGTCAGATTTGGGTTGAAAGACCCACAGCAAGAGAAGTATCAGTCCTAGTGAGAATTGAGAGTGTACACTCTTTAGCTTTTGCCTTAGAATTCTGCATTTGTCTTTCACCCAAAGTCCCCATATGCCTCCATTCCCAAGGGAATTTTGCCTGGGTTTGTGTGAGGGAAAGAAGAGGCTGGGATTTCCCAGCATCTCAGAGAGGTTATGTGAGGAGTAATTGTGCTGTTCACACCTACTTGTGTTTGACCTGACCAAGTGGATCTATTCCTTTCAGAATCGATATGTGCTACCAACCAGCAGACAAAAAAGAGCAGCATTTTGCTAATATGATGGACAAGGCGACAAATAGATACTTCCCAGTCTTTGAGAAGGTATGTATAGTCCACTGGTTGTTGGTGGGATACTGAGGCTCCTCACCTCTCCTAGTGGCTATTGTGACTTCTGCTCTAGTCTTTAGCAAGCCTATTGTGAGTCAAAAACAGGTTTTCAGAGCAAAGCAGCAGGACTAAGAGTTGGGGCTTTGAATCTGATCTCTTTGGAGGTTTTTAATTCAGCTCTCTGCCCCATGAAATCTCTTTACAAATGCTGCTGGGCTAACAGGGAACTAACCTTTTATCCCCTGCAGGCCAAGGTGTGTAAAAGGGTACAAACAATAAAAAGCACAAAATTAACATGAACTGAAATGGATGCTGGAGAGGAGGCTTTTTGCCTCACCATGCCTGCGAAGGTGGCCAGCTGTAGTGGTTTAGATTTGCCAAATTTGTTTCCCGGCCAAAGCACCAAATAAATGTTGTGGTTTTAAAGCAGTAACTAAAAAAATAACTAGAAAACTTACTTATTTCTTGCTGTGAGATATGGATTAGAACAAGAGCAAAACAGGCTTAAAACTTAAAAGGAATAAAGAAAGTCTATTAACAAAACTACAAGAATAAGAAAACCAGAATAAAACTTCCAAAAACCCCCTTTTTCCCCCACTACCCAACCATTCTCTTGTTCACATGATAACATAGAAACAAGAAACTTTGGAACTTTGTGGTTTAAAACAGTCCCAATTCCTGCCAGTGTCTTTTCATCAGTTTTTGTAGAGAAACAGAAGTCTTCTTCTGCTAATCTATGGAGTTTCTCCAAGGAAACTATTTCTGTTATAGCTTTCTATTTCTCTGACGCCAGCTGCCCGGAAATCTGCCATCAGTCTACTCCTCCCATTTCACATCACTCTGAAGTGTGTTATGGGTCAAATGAATCTAGGGATGTCATTTTTAAGGATGAGTTATTCAAAGGCAAAAGTTCTCTTCATCTGTCTCTGTGAGCCTCCCTGGAAACAGAAGTTTTCTCTTTGCCTCAAGCGCCCCCAGATCTTTAACTATTACTTCTTCCCCTCTTTTCCAGCACCTCAATGTATCACAATTACTCCACTTTTTGCTCAAAATCCACACTTTGAACACTCCATTCCTCCCAATAGACTCTGTCATGAATTAAAGGAGATTTTTTTTTCAGAACACTATTGTCCATCTCCATAGCTTTAACAGAAAAATATTTCAGCTTAATTAAAGCATCTCCTTATTCTCTCTTCCCATCTAAAACTTTTCTTCACTGTCTTTAATGGTTTTATGATATCTTCTTTATGTTGACTATCCCTCTCTCTCTCTCTCTCTCTCTCTTCCCCTCTCACTGGAAAAAAGGAGTAATCTGTAAATTTCATCCAGGTAGTAAAAGAGTTAAAGATTTGGAAAGGCCGCAGATGTTCATGGTATCAGGTTTCAGTTCAGCGGCAGAAACTGCAAACCAAGCCAGGCCGGCCGGCTCCGTTTCTCCCCCCCACCCTCTGCGGCCTTGTCCGGCCTGGAGATGGGGGAGGAGGCTGAGACAGAGCCTTGTTACCTTTTCAGAAGCAGGAAACCAAAGACAGCAAGAGAGCCCTGGCTTTACATCTTAGGGTGGTGTTCACAAGATGATCTCACTTCTCAATGGTTAAAACCGCTGCCAATTCTCAGAAATGACAGATAATTGGTCAGGAGAAAAAACTCCCATCAGCCTCCAGCAGATTCAACTTCCTTAGCTCTCAAAGCTATATTTAAGGTAAAGTCACCCCAGGACACCAGCTAAGGTTTCTCCCCTAAAAAGAGTGGCAAACTATCCCAAGTAATCCCTTCCTTCCAAGGAAGGATGGGTGTTTTGTTGGCTGGCTCAGAGTCCCCCACAAGTATGTGGCAAAGAGTTTGTAGCTCAATTGATACTGGTATCTTGAACAGCCATCATGGATCCACAAGAGTTTTGTGGAAGAAAACAGAAGAAAAACTACCACTGGAATATAAATGGTCTGGTTTTGGTGGTGCTGGGAGTAAGGTGGAGACAGGACACTATGGAGGGGACAGAAGGCCCTTCCAGTCTGTGAGAGATGTAAAGCTGTGAAAACCCAGCCCACACTGAGTTCCCAAATGTCCATGTTTGTATCTGTGTGTTGTTTCAGACAGAAGACCCTACAGCATCAGCTTTGACATCAAGATTCCTCCTGAGCTGCAGATGGCCCTCTACCATACATGCTATGTAAAAGCATGACAGTTCCTTCTCTATCTCATGCAGCTTAGTCTTCAGTGCAGCTACAGCAGCCAAGGCAAGATGAGCACAACTGAGCTGCCAGACAGAAGTGCAGAAGAGAAAGAGCTGCTAGATTATGCCTAGGATGGCAGTGCCATCAGATCAGTATTTGTCCTACAGATGTTTGAACTGCATCTCCTTCTTTCACAGACAGCTCCATGCCATGGATGGCCCTTCTTTCAAGATATCCTATTAAGTAAGACAGAGAAAAGACATCATCTCCTTCTGCTTCTGTGTTTTTAGGTTTTGAAAGACCATGGAAAAGACTTCCTGGTCGGCAACCAGCTGAGCAGGGCAGATGTGCAATTACTGGAACTCATTTTAATGGCAGAGGAGTGCAAACCTGATATACTTGCCCAATTTCCTCACTTGCAGGTAAATGAGTGGGCAGTCTGAATGGATAATGAATTGGAAATGACCACTGATTTAAACTGGCTGAGAAATATGGGAGAGTGGGAGGGTCAGAAGTGATGTGCAAAATAATCAGATACCCTAAGAACTTTTAGCTGGCCCCAGCTACTCTTTGTTTTTATGCCATGTTCTGTCACTACCACCCCAAATGCATGAGAGGGGGCGGCACAGAGTTTCTTCTGCAGCATCAAGCCTTAATGTGACTTTCAGAGCGTGGATAACATGGAAATATCTGGCAGTTGCAATGATTCTCAAGCACTGTGCTGTTTTGGTTTTGTTTTGTAGAGCTTCAAAGCAAGAATAAGCAATATCCCCACAATAAAGAAATTCCTGCAGCCTGGCAGCCAGAGGAAACCCCCAGTACGAGAGGAGGACGTAGCCAAATTGATGAAAATTTTCCACTGAGCAGTAGCATCAAGCTCCAAAATCTATTTCATTGCCTTTGCTAGCTGTGGGATAAAAATGAAAACACTTATAACTAAGTTTTTTGATCCTACAAGCAAAGGAAATAGTTCACAGATTTGGGAGTATGTTGGACAACACAGGATGCCTTAAATAACTGAAGAGAACGCATGAAATAAAGTCTTACTCTTTCCTATAATTAACTGTGCAGGCATTGCCTTTTGCTGTTATGTATTGGCTTTTGCAAATTACTGTTAATTACAACAATTTTTAAAATCACTATTAACTGCTTTAATATAGTGTACCCTGTCAGCTTTTGTAGCCAATGTGTAGTGTAGTGTGATAAATATATATTATAGTGAAGGATTTCGAAAAATATTAAAATAGAGACTATATGTTGTGCATTGTAACGTTAAATGCCTTTTTATCTCTAACTAACTAATAATAGTGAGAATAACTCAGATAATGTTGATTTAATGTACTTGTGTAGTATCTTATCTGAATTATAAGACAACATTGAAGGGAACCAGGAAAATAAACACCAAGAGAAAAAATGCAAGGAGGCATTCACTACTGACACTCACTTATCAAGAAATGTCAAACAACAGAACACAGCCTCAAGAAGAAATAAAATACATGAATTTCATCTACAGGATGGCATGAAGACAAGACACAGTCAAACCAAGCAAAAGAATTCCCAGAACATGTAAACTCACAGGAATGTTTTAATATGTATAATCCTCATGAATATGCATTTAACTAATGTAATGAAAAAAATATATAAGAAAATTGTTTTGAGCGAATTGGTGTGCCTCTGGCACTTTTCCATGCACCCCAGCACTGTGTATGGTCCCTCTGATCCCTTATTAAACTTCTAAAAATTTTAAAGAGTGAGTCTTGTTTCTCACACTGTTCATACTCAAAACGCCACTGTTCATTGGTTTCTTGCTGCTACTTCTTAGCCCAAGGTCTCTCTGGATCTGTTTTTCTGGCGTTCCCAAGAATTGCTGGAAAATTAGGAGAGATTATCCCAAACAGTCAGTCAGGTTTTTTTTTCTGGGAAATGCCAGGAGAAGTCTGCAGCTTCTGGTGAGGTCACGATGAAAGGTTTGGATTCAGCTTTCCTCTGAGCTTAACTTGGAATGTGCTTGGACCAGAGGTCCTACTGCACCTCTGTCTTGTCACTAGACACACAAACTCTTGTACTGCAGCTTCACCAAGGTTCCATTTATCAGAAGGTCTATTGTAGCAGCTAAAAGCCCTCTGCAGAGTCTGAGGAACAAATGCTTGTCACCAGTTTCAAACTTACTGAGAAAGGAGGAGTCAGGATGGTGTCAGGCTCTAGTGAGACCTTGGAATGTAGGAATCCATATTGACTTACATCACTGTATATCAAACCAAGTCTAATACAAGCTGTACTGGAGTTGTTCATTCTTCCAGTCACTTAAATCAAGCTCCACTACTTGGAGGTTAGCAAGACTGCTGAACTTTGATAAATATGTGCATTCATGTAGTGAAAGCTGTTTCTGCTCAGGGCAGGAGGGTTGGAACTAGATGATCTTTAAGGTCCCTTCTAACCCAAACCATTCTATGATTCTGTGATATTATTGAAACCCCAAATAAACCAAGTTTGCAAAAGAAAGAGCCTGTGCCCTAAATCCAGCTACAACTAGAGCACTGGCAGTTTTCAGCTGGGCAAACTCAGGGTGCTGTAGCTCTTGCTAAAGCCAACAGTTTCTTCATAAGAAATGTGATGTAGCTGGGAGCAGTTTTTGTCATGAAAAAAGGAAATAAACCCATGATTTTCAGCAGCAAAGCATGTATGAGAGAGAGTTGTTGCAGGAGCTGTTTCCCTCTTGCCTCACTGAAGCATTCCGACAACACTTGCAGCTGCTGAGTGCTGTCAGAAACTCCAGCCAGAAACTTGGGCTGTAGTTCTGACTCTATGCCAGGATGAGCTGCAGACTTGGCCCCATGGTTTCATGATCCCCCACAAGGATCCCAGTTTTCAACCACAGAGAGCCAGAGCCCCTGGCACAAGGTGTGCTTGGCATCCTTTACACAGGGGCTGCCGGCCCAGCCTCTCCCCGGTCACATCATGGGTTATCTGGGGCCTCCATGCCTGTCTCCTGCTCACTGTGTCCTGGCCATGTCCCTGAGGTGCAGCTGCCTCGGAGCCAGCCCAATGGAAATGTCCAGAAAATCTGGGTTTGTTACCCAGTGAGCAACAAACCAGCAATTACACACTTAAGAGAGACACTGAATATTAATTTCAGTGTTGTGCAAGCTTGGTTGCTTGGTGGTTCCAAAAATTAAGGACAACTTTTTACTATTTATTCATTTTAGCAAGCAAAGGCATTAATGTTCATTGATTACAAGTTGTTTAGTTCTCCTAATAATTAGTATTCTCTCTTCTATAGGTTAATGATTCTCCCTCTTCTCATACTAATTGGTCTGCTTGCTCGGTCTTTCTCTTCTTTTGAGCTGGGTTTCTTGAGATGATGGGCTGTGAGTCAGTGGTGTGGGAATCCCTCCTTGCTGCAATTAACCTTTTGCCCAGTCTGAGCTGATCTCAGCACAGTTGCTGAGTGGGCTTTATTAGTTTCGTCCTAATCTTGGCAGTTCTGCCAAATGCCTTTGTGGTTCATAAATTCTGTGTTTTATGTATCCACTATGAGAGCTACATCCTTCTTTCCAAGCCTTGCTAAATTCCCCCTAGGTTTGAGATCGTTAAAATATGTTCAACCCTAAACAAGGCAATTCTCCTGACAAGTAATTTCTCTTTCCCGTAGCTGGATATCACTTAAACCTCGTTTGGTAGCTGCTCTCTGTTCCACGAATTAAAACTTCTTTCTTGTTGATCAGGCTCTATGATACAAAGACCAAAAGCACATCCTTTCTCAGTAAAGTGTTTACTCCCCGCAGGAGTGCAGGGGCACGGCGGAGGTGGCTGTTCCCGGCGGGGCGGGCGGTGGGCACGGCGGGGC